ACATTTGTGCCTGGTCCTACGTTGTAGCTGACTGACTGTAACAATTTGTTTTTGTCAATTGCCTTTATACAAAATGTATCCTTCAAATTCGATTATATGGTGATGCATATGAGTTCTGTTCGATGCTTTAAATACATCAATTTCAGTCACTTGATTGTATTTTTGACTTTTATTTTAGCCTCTTTGTTTTGAACATTTAATAGTACCATTAACATTTAAACAAACATAAACCATGTGGTTAAAAAAAGAACACGCAAAACGTTTAGTTAGTTATTATACTATAATAAAATTATGTATAATTTAATATTAAATATATTTTTATTATATCCCAATGAGTAAAAACATTGTATTTTTTATGTTTCGAGACTTAATGTAAGCCACTTTAGAGGAAATAAATAATACACAAAAGAAACAATGAAGAATATTTTTGGTACAATCAAAATCATAATAGATCTGAATATGTCAATTTCAATTTATATTTATTATTAACTTTATACCCAATGTTCATTTTATTTGATACTATCAAGTTCAACTTTAGCGTTAATACCTGTGTATAATTTGGTTTTTAAATACGAAAGAATAATTATCGGAATCGGATTTGTGGAGATTATAGTAATTTAACAATTGAATTCATGAGTTTATTTAAGCTAAACCACTCTGGAAAACCTTGAATCAGTGAATGGCCATTTCGTCCTAGTATAAGACAGCGTTGGATACCGGCTCAATGGTTTACAGATTAATCGTTCGTGTGCGAGACCGAAGGTCCTGAGTTCGAGTTTCGCAAAAAGGATCGTTAGTGCGCACTACAGAAGAGTCCCTTATCATGATGAGACGGCTGTCTAGTGTTTTCATGTTTTCACTGATGATCTAGCTTGAATCAATTCATAAGTTCAACTATGAATGAATAATTGACTAAAGCATTTCGGAAAAAACTAATATCTATGATACAGATAAAATAAATTTGTTCTAGCTCTTAATTTTCTATAATTCTTTGTTCTTACATTATCTTAACATAAATCTGGTATTTTAGAAAAGAAGATGATCGTTTTCAATAATATCGAACTTAGTTTTTCTTTCTTTATAATTTCTTTCCCTTTCCATTACTTTGAAGAATAAGTTGAAAAACACTACTTTTTTATATTTGGTATAAATAAATAAATAAAATATTAGATACTAATGTACACAACTATTTATGGAAGCATGAATTAGCTGAATTTCGATGTCCATCAAATAGGTTACAATCGAATGATCGATAATGATAATTTCCGATTTTGATCATTTCATTAAATAGCTCAAGATTAATCCATTAGACAAAATGTTGTACAGATTGATTAGAGTAACATTGTGATACTTCAGAATGGATGAAGTAAATATCGATTATAGTACAGAAATAATTTATTTTACGAATTTCACATAGACAAAGGACAAATCCACGATCCCGCGCCCCGGGGGATCCGAACCCAGGACCTACTGGCCTCGCGCGCGAGCACTTAACCATTAGACCACGGAGCCGGCATCCAACGGTGTTAAAGTCTAACTTCAACCAACCCACGAAGATGCGCACTGCTGAGGAGTCCCATACTAGGACGAAACGGCCGTCCAGTGCTTCCAGGTTTTCCATGGTGGTCTAGCTTCAACTGACTCATGAGTTCAATCTGTGAAATTTCTAAAAATCTCCACAAATCCCTTCTGATAAAAAGATAAATCATCATATGACTAACAGAAGTGAGAATTTACTGCTCATCTTATGCCTTTTCTGTTCACTCTTTATTGACCATTTGATATCTGGTAAGTTAGTAACGATAAGACTATATGTATGTTATTGATCAAAGTTCGTAAATCGGTTGGTGAAACCGTGACATTTTAATGACTATGATGACTGGGGCATGCTTTACAAATACTGATTACAGTACCATCTATGACGAACTATAATAGCAGCTTCAGAGTGAATTAAAAGTAGGCTATGGATTGGTTGGTCCGTGACCTTAATGACTTTTTGACTGACTGTTAGGATGTCCAGATTAGTTAAATGAGGACCTTAGGTGATATTAATTTGAATATTTAGCAGATAACTGAGCAGACTAATTCCACCTCACCCTACGGATTGTTGATTTACGTTTTTGTTCTGCCAATGTGAATAAGGATAATTTAGATCGATGTCTGTTTTTCCCAGACCCCGCTTCATTTATGACTGATTGAGCGGATTATTTGATAAGTGATACTGATTCAGCTAAATAATTTCCCAATATATAACACTTGAACTTCATTAATATTTTTCAACCAGATTGGTAGTAGTTACTCCTTTAGACGTCTTCAGGAGAAATGCAGAATTAATCCCATGAACAATTAGATAAACCGGTTATCAAAAGTAATTCTACCATTGAAACAGATATGAAGAAAAATGCAACCCGTTTGTGTTTTCTAATTGGTATGCATTAGTGACTTCACAAATGAGAAAATCTAGGCTTTTAACCTCATTCAATATATAATAAAATATGTTGATCTTTCAATGTCATTGGTATGTCGCTGCTTCGTCTTCGAATAAATAAACTTCATATATATCATTTTTACGTCAGGGTCTGAAGATCCTTATCTTGATTTTAAAGATGACCCAAGTTTTGCGTTGATGAAAAGATACAAGCATGGATTAAACAGCTAATCCCTTCTTATTTGTTTCTAATTATTCTCCAGTTGATGTCAACTCATGTTAGGAACAGTATTTACGAGAATAAATTTCCAGTCCATTCGTTTTCTCATATATAAGCAGATAATCATCAAAAATATAACCACTCAACTGAATTAGACCGAAACAATATTTTCCTGAATATTCACTGATAATAATATAAAATAGAGGAAACCGGTTATCAAAACAAATATTTACTTTGTTTGCTTCAAAGTTTCAGTGGTGTTTTTTGAAATCATGCTATATTAAACGTATAATTGTAAAGGATTTTGATTCACTGCCGTTCTTCATCGTCGAATAACATTCATACTAGTTTTTGAAATATGCTTTTTATCTGTAGAAGCTAGTAATAAATGTCGTCATCAATAGCCACTAAATAAAAGGAAATTACACAGTTAAAATGAACAATGGTGTATTTTATTTTGAACTGTATTTCCTTTTTAATAGTCCGAGATCTAACTGCACATGATCAAGCAATACTGATGTTAAGGAAATAAAAAAGTCAAGGTTATAAGCTAATAATCAACAAGGTCAAAGTAATAAGGTGACTGGTCTATCCAAAAGCTATGATAACCCATGTAGACGTGACTTAGTATCAGATGATTTACTTCTTGTGAATGTCCAGATTAGTGCTGGATATAAATAATTATGTATATACTTGACATATGATCTAGAGACAAACTATTTGAATTCCTAGACCAGCTGAATGTTTTTTCGAGTCAATTAAAGATCTGTTTCTAAACAACTTCTACTGTGGGTTCAAATCTCGCGAGGCGGGATCGTGAATGCGCACTGGTGAGAAGTCCCACAATAGGACAAAACGTCCGTCCATATCTTTTAGGTTTTCCATGGTGATCTAGCTTCAATTGATTTATGATCTCAACTATTAAATAACATATATATACCAAATTCATTGAAATTTAATTGAATGTAATGAATTTTGAGAAGTTGATGTATTTTTGAAAAGTGTGTTTTAGAATCTCATTTAAAAAAACGTAAAACTTGAATACTTAAGTAGTTAAAAATCATTTTTATTGATAATCACGCTTAATAATTTATACTAATTGATTCTAATGTAATTTTTAATGGTTCTGATTATCCCGTTATTGACATTCTTGATTGATATATGTGTATCCTATGGAAATTGGCTCGATATAGTCAGTATGACATATGTCTGTATACAACCAATGGAATGTGGCTAGCAATGGAATCCAGGAGGCCCATTTCATCCTCTCTGGGACTGGTCAGTCGGATGTACCTGTATCCCAGATTTTATGCTCACCACGGAACGCAAAACTATTACTGTTCACTACAAACGTCAACGTTATATAAAGACAATCAGCATAGGACGCGTATTTACCAACCACGAATGTCAACAGAGGTATAATCCAAGCTATTACCAATTAAAATTAAAATTCATATTCGTTGCACAGGTGAGTGAATATCTGAAATCAGTAGTTAGGTGAATAATGTAGTGATTTTCGAAGTGAGAGGTACTGGGTTCCAGCCTCGGAGTAAACGCCAACTTTATAATCCAGAGACATCCGACTGATGCATCCCAAATAACGCGAAATTCACGCTCCTTGGTTCCATTAGTAGTTACATTTCATGTATTCTTTACTAATGCATTTTTTAAAACTATATTCTATTGGCAACTTCTGAATCTTCTTAACATCTGCACCTCTGACAACTATTTTCAAGATCATAGTGTTATGAACGTAGGTATTTCAGTTAATTTTGCTTTTTTTTTCTACGTAAAACTAGCGAAACTTTGAAGCTTGACTAATTTGGATGAGAAAATTACTGTCATATAAATCATTTGAAAAATTGATGTTATTTTTAGTTTTCCAAAATTGTAAGATTAACCCTTCTAGGTGACAAAATAACTTTATTGTATGATCTTAAAGAGAGCAAGGACGAAGATATTTTTGTTAAAATTTCGAGATGGCGGAGATTTGTAGATCAGGTGGATGATTTTGATGGAGTTTTGTTCTTTGAGCTGGATAGTTTGGTTGTGGAGCCTTCATCGTCCTTCTGAACGACATCATAAGCACAAACTTTAGGTTGAAGTGGTGTTCGAATTTCTCCACATGTGGTTCACGGCTTGTCCTGTAGACCTCGATATTGATTGGTTCTTGTTGACCTTAAACCTATCATTGTTTACATTTTTGTTTTGGTTGTATTTCCCATTTCCTTGTACGCTAAACTTATGACAATTATAAATAATCGTTAAACTATGTATTTACTGAACTAACTTGTGGATTATGTTTGCCATTTTTATACTAATCTTAATTTTATATCTGTGTGTTTTATTTAGCTGTGGACTGTAATGGACTTAGCTAGTAAAGCTGGTGATCTTGAAGAAACAGTACACTCTAGTGTAAATCATCTCGAATATATTGTTAAACATTTAGAAGATGCTCTTATTATTCGACATCGATTTAAACAAAGTCGTAAAAATAACAGTTCCATTTCAACGGCACAAACATCTGTATCTAGTCCAGCTAATACAAATGAACAAATAGTAAATAAAGGTATTATCTATTTAAAATGTTTATTTTGTAAATAATTACTTTTTATTTTAGATAATTCTTGGTATGCTATACTTCCGCTTACAATAAGCAATAGATCACGTATTCCTGGTCCACGACCTTGTTCACCACAATCAAGCAGTTATCTTAATGGATTATACTTAATTATTAAAGCGCTTTATGTTTTTAATTCAACTGGACAATTATTTTTGTTAGCTAGGTAATAAAAATAATCTTATTAATTTTGTTCTTCAGTATGCTTTTATGAATTACATGTTTTGTAATCCATTCAACTGGACCATTTTGATTTGTGTTCTTTTATATCATAATGAATGAGATTCTTCTATAAAGATAGATGATTTATGGAAAGAAAACAAACGGACAAGGAATAATAGAATGCTTAGTTTAATTCATGATAAAATATTTCGTATTGGTAAATGAATTTATCCTCATAACAAGTTATCAGCATACTAGCATAAATAAAAACTGCTACGAGCAAAGATGAATAGTGGAATGCAGAATGTGCATTTCGTCCTCATTCGAACTCGACAGCTGCACGTGCCTGCATCTCAGAGCTGATATTCACTCTTGGACTCGAACCCAGTACCGTTCGCTTCAAACGCCATCGCGTTATTCACTTATCTACTGATCCCTGACAGTCACTTGCTTGTGCAATGGGATGAAGTTGAAATTCACTTGTTATTGTTTACTTGAATGTTCCCATTGATGTTTAGCACTGAAGTTGATCAGTCTCTTATTGGCATATGTGCATACTGTGCGTATTGCCTCGACATTGTTTTGATCCATAAACATTACGAGCAATGATGGATAGTGGCTATCAGTGAAATCAAGGACGCACATTTCGTCCCATTTGGGACTCCAACTGGATGTACCTGCATCCTAGAGTTGATGTTCACTTTTGGAGTCGAACCCAGTACCAAGGGAACTTCAAAATTAATACAGTTTTGGTGAGAATCCGTTAAGATAAATTTTATCTAATGTCTACATTGAATAAATTTTCAAATAGTTTACAGGTAACGTAACAGAAAAGATGCATCAACTATTTAATGTCGTTTTTGATTTGTTCAAGATACTACAAAATAATTAGTTCATCTTTCAAATGTTTATTTGACCTTACAATATTCAATATCCCTAATTGAAACATCACAAAAATGAACCAGTCTTAATTATGCAATTGAATGATACAATTGTTTAAATATGGTAGATAAAACCTTTTAGCTATATAAACCATCCTACAGAGAGTAACTGGTTTATCGAAAATTTAATAAAGATATTAGCCCCTGAAGAAAAAATTGAAATTCTGTAAAATTCGAATTATTGTTATGTAACTTACATAGTTAGGACGGAACGCTCTTCCTGGATTCCACTGCTAGCCACTATCCATCATTGCTTACAATAAGCTTGTGAATTAAGGCAATATCGAGGCACACGCATAGTATGCACATATGACAATAACAGGCTGATCATTTGCAGTCTTAAACCTCAATGGGAAGATACAAACCAAACAATACCAAATGAATTTAAATTCACCCCATTGCACAAGCAAGTGGCTATCAGGACTTAGTAGCTAAGTGGATAACGCGATGGCGTTTGAAGCGAATGGTACTGGATTGGAGTCCCAGAGTGAACATCGACTCTGAGATGCAGGTACATCCAGCTGATGAGTCCCAAATAGGACGAAACGCGTGTCCTGGATTCCACTGCTAGCCACTACCCACCATGGCTTACATAGTTTAGTTCCCTAAAGAGACAACTTTGTAATGATATCATCAGGTTAAATGATATGTAGTAACACATAATGAATTGTCATCAATGATCCCTTTTTATTCAAGATCTATTGTCTAAATCATGTTCTTATCTTCATGATTCAATAGATGTTTTTTTCTTCTTCTCAATAACACTGCAACAAATTGTGATATTTAAGATAAATTATAATACTGATTTCTCTTTTGAGTTTTATGTTTAGCAATCATTGTTTTAACAGTTAACGTACTATTCATAAACCTACTGAGTCATGATGGCTATTACATGTTCATTGGGTTCAGTAATTATACATGTTCGAAATTTCCTCCACCTTAAATGCGGTCAAGTTAAAAACGTAGGTAACATTGAAAGATTAGCTCAATCAACTCATAGATAAAAACAAACTCACCTATTGAATCCTAGATATCAATCTACTTAACAATAAAAAGAAAAGAAAACATTATTACTACTATTATTGATATTTGTACGAATCATTATCAAGGTTTGATTTGATAATTTCGAATAAATTGAGCATTGGATAGAATGTTATAAATAAATAAGTAATATCAATGGTTAAGATCATGAGTCAGTTGAAGCTAGACCACCATGGAAAACCTGGAAGCGCTGGACGGCCGTTTCGTCTTATTCTGGGACTCCTCAGCAGCGCGCAGGACGAAACGGCCGTCCAGGGCTTCCAAGTTTTCCATGGTGGTCTAGCTTCAACTGACTCATGATCTTAACCATTGAAATTACTATAATATACACAAAACCCATCTGATATTAAAATAAGTAACACCCTAGTCAGTAAAAAATTAGATTTTTTGATGTTTCGTGACTTTTTCAGAGAATAAATAAACAACAAAATCAAAATTAATCCAAGTTCAAATAGTACGACGGAACAATAAGAATATTATGTGATCAATCAATGTCATGTCATTTCGGTTATGGTGATTCATAAGCGACCTGTATGCAAATTTCTGTGTATGTATATGTGCAGTTAAGGATGAAAGTAGTGTGACCTTTATGGTGAGAAAGGATAAAGTTTAATTTGTAAGATAATAGTATGAATAGTGAATTATATCAGACTAGGTGGCTAAGATAGATGGTCCAAGTAGGATGTATGGTAAGGCCTTCTCTTCTATTGAGAGAAGTAGGATTAAGCATTATATGGAAAGCTTCAGCTACTCTCTTTTCTTTGTAATGGGAAAAACCTTTTTGCAATATTTTGATATTTTTGAAATCGATTTGGTGATTGTTGAAAATGGTTTGAACTACTATTGCCGATTTAATTTGAAGTTTATCCAGTTCTACGGTTTCTTTGTGTACTTAATATGTTCTTTGGCACAAGTCAAGATTTCGCAAGATAACTCTCCAATATAAAAGGCATCACAATCGACACAATGTAATTTGTAGACTAAGTTCTGTATTGACATGAATGGTATTTTTTTCTTTTAAGCGAACTAAAGTATTTCGAAGTATGTTCATTGTTTTTAATATAATTTAAAATTGTGTTGTTTTAAGATTCTGTGGAGTTCTTCTGTTGTGCCATGACGGTTTATGATTTATTCAGACCTTTTTTTTAATTGATCACATAGTATTCGTATTGTTCCGCTGCACTATTTAAACTTGGATTAATTTTGATTTGGTTATTTATTCTCTGTAGAAGTCGCTTACACTTAGTCACGAAACGTTAGAAAATCTAATTTTTCTACTCGTCGCAATATTACAAATATAATTATTTCAATAGATGAAATCATGAGTCAATTGAAGCTAGACCACCATGGAAAACCTGGAAGCACTGAACGGCGCGCGAGACTGATAGGTCCTGAGTTCGAATCTCGCGGGAGCTGGAGTCATGGGTGAACACTACTGAGTACCATACTAAGACGAGATGGCTATCCAGTGCTTCCGTGTTTTCCATTGTGGTCTAGCTTCAATCGACTCATGATTTCAACTATTGAAATATATTATTTATTTATTTATTATTATTGATGTTATCAATAATAATGATTGTTTGTTTTTTTCATTCCAATAGGTTTTTAGGTCAAACCACAATATTTTTTGGACCACAAATGTTAATTGATCTTATAATTGGTACACAGTGGTATCAAAGTGGAAATTTTCCACGTGTTTCATTTTGTGATTTAGATATGCGTAAAATGGGAAAAAATTATCATAGATATACATTACAATGTGTATTAAGTATTAATATGTTTAATGAAAAAATTTTCATTTTTCTTTGGTTCTGGTTTATTGGTATCACTTTAATAAATATACACAGCTTCTTACGTTGGTGTTGTAGGTAGGTATTTTGTAAATCTAATTACATGATAGATTTATCATTGTTTTATTTATTTACAGTTTATTTCATTTTGAAATTCCCATCTTTTTGATCCTATATCTCACTTATTGATAGATTACATTTGTTTATTTGAATCAGTATGTGTTTATTCATTATGGACTAGTCGGTTTTACGGTTTAAGTGTAGTTTCACTAGTTGTTATATGATCAATTACTTAAATAAGAGTTTGTAATTTCCACGTATCATATTACAAAATTGAATATGAATCCCTTCTACTTTATTCGATAAAGATTCACATTTATGATGACTTAACAATTGCTCTTCTATTTGTTAGATGGATTAATGGATAAGGTTTACATAAAAATGGCACTATACAGTCTAAATTTACACTTTTAATGACTGCTGTACTTTGATTGTGATGAGAAATTTAAACATTATTTGTCGAGGTCCTAAACATCAATAAGAAGATTGAAACAACTAATACAAAAATAAATTAAAACTTCACCCCGTTGCCCAACCTAATGGCTATCTGGACTCAGTACTTAAGTGAACAATGCAATGGAGTTTAAAGTGAATGGTACTGAGTTTGAGTCTTGGAGTAAAGATCAACTCTGGAATGCAGGTTCTTCCAGTTGACGAATTCTATATAGGACGAAACGTACGTCCTGAATTCCATTATTTACCACAATCCATCTTTACGTATCTTGTTTTATGTTGTAAGTCGATGATCAACTGACTTGAAAAACGTAAAAAATAATTTACATTTATTATTATTCCGACATTTTATGTTTCAAAAATAATTATAATAATTTCCTAGTCAGCTTGATGCAATTACGTAAACAGCGAAAACCAGGTACATTCACACTAATCATTGTAGTGTCGGTTACTATGTTAAGCCCATATAACTTATTATAGCTTCTGGACAGGGCAAAATTTATCCAGTCTTTTTGAGCCACGTTTTGACCTTGTTAATTATTCACTTATCAATTCTGACTGTTTTTATATGAGCATATGTGTGTATACATTTCATAGCCTATTCATCACATGTCTGTAACCTATTTTTATCTGGCTATAATTATTGATTAGCGCTTGACTAAATGGGGTTAGCTCACATGCCTTCTCTACTACGCAACGTTTTGTTTCGCTTAGCTTTATCATCTTAGCTTCAATCTCTATTATTCTCTGATTGTCTGTTCCGATCAACGAGTGTACAAAATGTACGTATTCAAACATCCAGTCGAATGGATTTCCTAGCATTTAATCATCAACTCAACGAATACATATGTCAGTATAGGGTTGTAGAGATTGTTGAGTTCAAGCTGATATAATGAATGGATCAATGTTAGACCACCCTGGAAAACATGAAAGCACTGGATGACCGTTTCTTCCTCAGCAGTGCGAACCCACCATCCCGCACGTGAGACTCAAACCTAGGACCTTCAGCTTCACACACGAACTCTTGAACTCTAGACCACTGAGCAGACATCTAACGATATCTAACTTCAATCAATCCACAGTATTGCGTGATCATTCTTCATTGTCTTTGGTGAGTAACTAACTCACACTTGACACAGTCGAGCTCCACTGATCACCGATTCTTACTAGAACTCCGAGAATTATCTCTCTAAGCTAGTCACTAACGAGCACACGGTAATTCTCAGTATTGAGTTGTGTAGATTGTTAAGTTTTGATTGAGTTCATGAGAAATTGTATATATGTATATATACTTTAGGAATAAACAGAACTGTTCACTGATTGGTCACTGAGTAGTAATCATTGTCAAATTGATCTAAGCACTTTGACTTATAGTCTCATTCTAATTTGATTTATAGGATTCAGTCAGTATTAATAATAAGATAAACATGCCACTGAATACTATTCAGTATCTAGTCCGTCTTCCAGAAAATGATTTGTAACCCAGTAAAAGTATCATCGTACAATGCAGAAGAGTTAGTCACTTTAAACATCACACAGTTTTGTAAGGTAAAATATCAGTATAGGGTTGTGGAGATTATTAAGTTTTTGATTGAGATCATGGACTGATTGATCTTAGAGCATCATTGAAACAGTGCGCATCCACGATCGCGCGAGACTGAAGGCCCTGGGCTCGAATACCATGAGCGGGATCGTGGGTGTGCACCGCTGAAGAGTCCCACAATAGGACGAAATGGCCGTCCAGTGCTGCCAAATTTTCAATGATTGTCTAACATCAATCAGTTCATGATTTCAATCAATAAGGTAAAATAATTTATTAGATTTGTATAGATTATATCTGCTTGGGTAGAAAAAAATTAAGATAAATAAGAACCAATAACAATGAAAGCCGGATAATAAAAAGGAAAAGTATACAAAATGAAATGAACAAACCATGAAAAAAATATATTTGATTCAAAGAAACGAAAACACAATCTATTTATTCAATGGCCTTAATACTGAAACATGTTTACATTGTTTCAACTGACTTGACATTCTACATTCGATGATATTCATAGTTAAAATTCAGAATGGTAATACCGTTATAGACCACTATCTGTATTTATTCAGTTATATCTTGTTGTTCGTTCTTTGTTTCAACTTGATTCTGTTCACATTGTTTTTTTATATAATATTTTTTGTTGTTGTTAAAATCTTCTTTCCATTTAGATCAACATTTCAAACTAGTCGAGTATGTTTTATTAGAAGTTTATTATTTAATAAAATCTCAATGAAGATAAACAATAATAATATTAATAATAATAAATCAGACTATTCATCAAATAATACTAATTCCAATGTAACACAAAATTCTGATTATCAGTCGACTAGTCAACAATCAACAACAATACAGTTAGCTGATTCATTATCTTCTGAATGTTATAATGAACAATTATCAATAACTGATAAAAAAGCATCAGCATTTTTTACTGAACATATTTTAGGACAAGATGGTGTATTTGTATTACGTTTAATTGCATTAAATGTTGGTCAATATATTGCATCAAAAATAGCTTGTCTTATTTGGGATCGTTATAGACTTGTGAATAATACATCAAAGTATACACGTACAATAAAGAGAACACAAGAAACACCGATAACGACGGCGACGACGATGATGACCACCACCACCACCGCCACCACAACAACAATAACAAAATCACAAACAAAACATGTTGTAACCAGTAGTATTAGACAATTGTCGAATATTGTTCAAAATCCACCTATTCCTGAAAGAAAAGATAAAACTAAACATAACAAAGAATTAAATTTATCAACATCTAATAATATTGTAAGAATTAGAACAATAAATGCATCTAATACAATTGGACAATATTCACAAAGTTTACCATCACAATCATCTATATATAGTTCAAGAAATTCTTTTAATAATTCTTATGATCATTGTTCACATTCTGATAGAAATTCCTCAAATAATTCAAGAATTCAAAGTTTAAATCAAACAAATAATTTTGTTTAAAAAATATACTACTTATAAGTAACACTATCTTATTATATACATTTAATTAAGTTTATGAACAAACGAACATAGATAACACTAACAGAATATCTCTATGGATTTCATTATTGTGATATTTCAATAACATAATTTCTTTTATCTATTAATTAGATAGTCATTTATTTTCCTATTCATTAAATATGCATAATATTCTTGGAGTTATTCAGTTTGATTGTTATTTTTGTCGGAATAAGAGTTTGTGGGAATTGTAGTAATTTAATGGTTGAATTCTTGTATCGATTTAAATTAGATCACCTGAAAAACCTGGAAGTACTGGATGACCGTTTTGTTTTAGTATGAGACATCATTGGATACCGAGTCAGTGGTTTAGAGATTAAGCATTTGCGCATGAGACCGAAGGTTCTGGGTTCGAATTATACGTGAAGGATTGTGGATGCTCACTGCTGGAGGAGTCCAATACTTAGGACGGAACAGTTATCAAGTGCTTTCAGGTTTTCTAGAATAGTCTAGACTAAATCAACTCATAAAATAATTTCTTGAATTAATTAACATTAGAATTTTGTGACATTTTTTGTTTTTTTTTCTTTGTAAAATAATTCATATGTACTGAAGAATAAATCATTTTACCTGGTGAAAATGAAAATAATATCACTTAATGAGAATAATGAGGAAATAAAGAGAAAAATAGAATAGTCCAGAGGATAGGTCAATTTTTTTTATATCATTAACGAAGATTTACAAACGTAAATTTGTATATATTTTTAATTCTTTACTTACGCCTGTTACCCCTCACGGAAGAGCACAGGCCGCTCACCAGCATCCTCCATCCTTTCCAGCTCATTCCAGTTACTGTTCAACCTTTTGATGTCGGCTTCCGATTCCGGGTGCAGTGTGTTGTTTGGCCTTCCTTTTTTTTGCGTTTCCTTTCAGGATTCTAAATTAGCGCTTGCCTCGTGATGTAGTTTGATGATTTTCTCAAAGTTTGTCCTATCCACCTCCAACTTCTTTTCCCAATTTCCTCCTAAGCTGGAAGTTGGTTTGTTCACTCCCACAGTAGTTTGTCACTGATGGTATATAGTCAACAACGAATATTGAGTATCTTGTGTAGACGATTGTTTATAAATACTTCTACCATTTTGATGATGGTTGTGGAAGTTATCGAAGTTTCAGCTCCGTACATTAGAACTGTCTTTATGTTTGTATTGAAGATTCTGATATTGGTTGACAATTGGTTTGAGTTTCGTATGTTCGATAATACTTTTACTATTGATATGCGTCTTTATATACATTTCATTCTATGTAGGACAACTAACAAAAATCGAAAAAATATAAAACAGGTACTTTATCATAGTAATATGACTTTTCATTTGAGCATATTCAATGCATATCACACATGAGTCCTGTATTCAGTTCTTAGTTGAATCATGAGTAGACATTGCTAAGGATTCGCATTGTAGCATAAAATAACTATCTTATACCTCCTGGTTTTCATTAGTTGTCTGGCTAAAATCAGTACTTGACGTGAAGTTATGTTACTGACTGTAGCATCTGACCATTAGTGTTCTTTTATGCCTAACTAGGAGGTATAAAGTTATAGATGATATATGACGAAAACGTTTGAAACATATTACAAACAATAATTTATCGAATATGATACAAAGTGAAAATAGGCTTTATAAAAAAAATGGTGTATTATTCTGGCTAATAAATTAAAAATCAGATTGTCATAGTCTGTGAATAACAAAGCTAGGGCAACATGCCATAGAAACCAGATAAAGAATAATAATCATGAGAATAGAATGAACAGTATGATAAGAAATGTATGTAATAGAGAGTCAGCTTAAGATTTTCTCAGTTACCTCAAATGATATTCTACAAACTATGATATTCATTACTACAATAATGCACTGAGCCATATTAAATTACCTCATAACATTTGATCAAACTGTACAGAATCTCTTATTCATTGCTATCAACAACCATTATTCTTCTTAATATTCGGTTATTAAAATGTATTATATATCATTTAATTAGTTGACAAGCCAGTTGACAGCTCAGTTAAATACTTTATGATACTTTATGTATTATAGTAATTAATTATCCATTAATATCACAAAACAAAACATGACAGTTTGACGAATGTTATCTTTGTATATACAAAGATAAATGAAAAAGTGTCAATTGTATGACAATTTTTGCTTTTAATAGTTGAGATCATGAGTCAATTGAAGCTAGACCACCATGGAAAACCTAGAAGCACTGGACAGACGTTTCATCCTAGTACAGGACTCCTCAGCAGTGCACATCCATGATCCCGCCTAGCGAAATTTGAATCAAGGACCTATCGATCTCAGGCGCGAACACTTAAGTTCCAGATCACTGGGTCGGCGATCGACGGTGTTAATATCAAACTTCAACTAATCCACGAAATTCAGCGACACATCCCCCATTGTATTCAGTGAGTTACTATCTCACAACAAATTCTGTTGAACTCCACTGGTCACTGCTCCTCACGGGAACTCCAAGAAATACCTCTTGAAGTCAGTCACTATTGGGCACATGTTGATTAGTATCAGAAGGGAATTTTGTGGATATTATAGTAGATTTAATAGTTGAGATCATGAATCAGCTAAAGCCGGACCGCCATGGGAAACATGGAAGCACTGGACGGTTGTTTCGTCCTATTGTAGGACTGCTTGTTTTATTTCCTAAAATATTAATGTTATCTATGGACATAGAAGTACACCAACACTTAAACCATCATTGATAATTGACTGTTATTAATCATTTTAAATTTTTATCAAAACAAAAATCAACATTTGATAAATTGTTACGTAATTATGTGCATGAAATTACAAGGACTATTTCAGAATATTAAAACAGTAAAGTAATCTTATTTTTGTATAATTTAAAAAGAATCCATTTTATCTCTGCTTTCTTCGTGACATTATAACTGTAATAAATGCTATCTATATAATATGAAGTATCATTTGACAAAGACAATAGAACATATTTCTAGTTATCTGATCATCAGGCTAGAACAAATATGTTTCATACATTGGAAAATTATCTTCCTACTGCTACTGTTTCAAATTAGTCAATACAGTCTATCATCAATTGACGATGGGAGATCAAACATAAACATATAAAAAATTACTATCATTATTCAAATGATTTCATAGATTATATCTCATATATTTTGCATATTTTGTAGATTATGTCATAATGTCAATTATCTAACTACTGAAAACCAAAGAATATTGGTCAGTGTGCTTTACACAATCTCTATTCGTCTACACTTTACAACAATTTTGTTAAGTTTACATTATGGAGTCGATATCCAGGTTTTCATAGTATCTGTTGTAACTTGTGGCCTACGTAATGATACCGCCAATTAGAGAGCAGTAAATTATAGATCGGATCAATGACGCATAAAACAAGTACGAGCAGTCTAGAGTCTTTATGGTTCCTGCTTCTCTCCTAGCCCTGCCTTTTAAGTCCAGAACACCAATCTCAGCCTCTGCAATATGAATCGTTTATTTCAAGCATATTGAGTTTATATACCAATCAGACAGACCACATCGTACCAATAAAATAGGAAATAACATTTGTACAAGATTTATTCCAAAGTGGCTGTGAATGTGGGAGGTAGTAATTAATAGACAGGGCATAATTCAAGAATGATAAATCGTATAATAATAGTTCATAGGTCAAAATAAAGCTCATAATAAGAAGGACATGAATATAAATACTTTAGTTATTTAACGATTATACAATGAAAATATACGCATAGTATTGGTCCATAAATGGATCCAAAAAGTTACCATTTATTATGATTATCGGGACATAATAGTATCATGCTTAGTCAATTAAAATAAACAATATTCATTAACATTGGTTCAGTATATACTTGTAATTGGCATGATTTAATTTCACCAGTCACAGATTCTTATCAAGATTTTTTTTTTTAAAAAGAGATGAATGATTAGAAATTTAAATTGGAAAGAAAAATCCAAATCTAATATTCTTCATTTCTATGGCGAGATTATAATTTATGGACGAACCAATCAGGTATAAGACAACAGGTCTCCAATTTTCGCGCGAAATTCACTCATCCATTTGGCTAAATTGAGTTTTGGCATTATAACTGATGTTAGTTCGTGATGAAAACCTTAAATCTAATTCTTAATCTTAACCATCAATTGCAAATCCTAATTCTAATTCCTCACACTAATTTATAACCCTCATTTAGTCATAGTTATTAGGTGAACACTCTCAAGGTCACTTTAGTGTCACTCATAGGTCGTCCATAAATTATAGTCACACCGACTTATTTATCGCTTAAATTCATTTGAACTTTTATTATAACTAAGTAACTGTCTCTGTATAAACTATGTTTTCTCACCCCACTAGATTAAGACTATTAGAAATTCTGAAAACAGCAAGAACAAATATTCTAGCAGAATAACATGAATTCATTTTATAGCGTTGGTTCCCGTTAGCTGCTTACAACCTGTGATATTTAAAAATCATAATTACATAATGGGTCTAAATTACCTACATCAAAGTGTTTAATTGAAAGTTATATCAAAGACATATCCGTATAGTATTAGAAATTCTATGAGTTATAAATAATTGGTATTGTAGTGAACAAGAATAAGAGTGGGGACAATCGAATGTATTTGAGCACACAATTACAGAGCATCTTAATATAGTTCATAGTGAATTTGCAAAATATCAATCCATTGTCTCAAACTTGACTGTTACTTTTGCAAATATCAGTTCATTGTCTCGGATTTCATTGTTCATGCATTTTCATACCAATTGCGTTTCGTTTCCGCTCTTTCCTTCTCGATCTTCTGAAATACATTCTATGTCTGACCACCGTTATATATTACATATATGGATATAAGTAACCCACACCACAGTCTCGTGAGGCGAGATCGTGGATGTGCACTTCTGAGGAATCCCATACTAGGACGAAATGGCTGTCCAGTGATTCTAGGTTTTCCATGGGGGTTTAGATTCAATTGACTCATGATTTCAACTATCGAAATCTCTAAAAGTAATATATTTTCCATGTGTTGCTCTATTTGATATCTTAATTTTTGGATATCTTTCCGATAAAAATAAGATTTTAAATGACAATGAGATATTAGTTCTCTCATTCAGAATAATATGTAATCAATATTGTAGTTTCCTTATTTCTATTCATTTCAGGTTTACTTTAAAATTGATGACATTCAATTTGTTTACTTTAACCTAAAAATGTTATTGAATACATTTGAATAATTTAAGACAAAACATTAGACTTGCATTAATGAACTGAATTTCAGTTATATTGTAAGTCTGTTAACGTTTTTTTCTGAATCTCGAAACTGGTTTTGTGAAATATCAATAATTATGCAGTTAGATCTAGTCCTTAAGTTCATACTATTATACAGTACATAAGAATTACGCGTAGCGCATTAGTTTAAGATCTCGATAATCAATAAATTTTCCACTAACTTTTCTAAGTTATATCTAATTACGTAATAGTGGGGTGTTGCTAACAGACTTCGTTATTACTAACCTAGAACAACACATATAAACGAACAATATTGTTTTCAATTAGATCGTCATCAGGCTTTACTTTA